AACTTTACTTTGAGGTAACAATATTACATGAAGGGAAGTTGTTCCTTATAGAAAAACTTCAGCTATAAATGCAGAAGGAATGATAAAGTTAAACATCACTATAGTGTAACCTCTAAGGAAAGAAGGGACTTTGACAATAATTATTTAGTGAAAGACTGATGTGAAGCCCTATAATAGACATGGGGCTGAGAAAACAAAGCTCCTCCTATGTGTAAGGATGTGGGGGTTTTGTTTTGTTTTGTTTACATTAACAATGTCCTAATCCTTCATAATATTGAGGCCCTCTGACTGCTTGGTCCTAAGATGACACGGTGTATAATTTTCTGGCACTTTAGGAAGAGCAGTGATTATTCCCTTGCAGATTCACCAGGAGCGGCCCTCATCTTCCCTGAGACTCACCCCACCCCGCAAGTGCCAACAGGTTGAGAAAGCCTGAGTCTTTGCAAGTGAGGCACCGCCAGAATGCAGCCCCCGGAGCTGTGCAACATAGTGACTGAGCCTGGGAAACTTGTGTCTCTAAGGTTACACAACGCAAAAATACCATCCTTTTTATATCAGTTACAGCAAGCTTTAGCATAATTCAGAATGAGTAAACCAACAAAGATACAGTACAAGCAATGCCAGCAGCTGGGGTACAGAAGTGTGCCCTCTTATGACATACACGGAATCCCTCCTGGATTTTACCTAAATCCAGCGTCCATGGTGAGTTGGAGGAATGGGGGGGACTAAGTGAAGGAAATAAGCTGGAGCCATATGGACCCTGCCTGTTGGTGATTGGCTACTTATTTTTTTATTCATGTTAAAGTTCTCTTTTTTAAAATCCTCACCCAAAGACAAGTTTTTGATTTTTTTTTTAAGAAAGAGAGGAAGGGAGAGAGAGAAACATGGATGTGAGAGAGAAACATCGCTCGGTGGCCTCCCGTATGTGCCCCGAGCCGGGGTGAACGGCGCCCTGGGGATGCGCTCCGGCTGGGAATGGGCCTCAGCCTTTCGGCGCACGGATGGCGCTCCAACCAACTGAGCCACCCGGCCAGGGCTTGCCCGCATCTTTATTGCTGCTGTTTATTATTTAGACCAGGTGAAACCCTGATTAGATTTTCTAGATGCCTCTTAACTTTTTGTACATGTCTACAGCAAGTCATCTACACTGTCCTTAAGAACAAGGTACTTCTCACTTAAAACAGTTCTTTCCTCTGATACCCTTTTCCGAATGAGCTCATTTTCTTAAAATTACCATTGCCAGGTGTGATTATAATGACATAAAGGCATCAATCTTTACAAAATAAAATGCTAGATTCTTGCTCTTGTTCCTTTATTTTTATGAAATGATACATCAAACACTGTGTGTGAGTGATGTGTGTATATAACAGGGGCGCTGGAACTGGCTGCAGAGCTTCCTCTCTCCTTGGGCCAAGATAATGTTGGAAGAATCTGAGGTCCTAAACTTTAAATGCCAAAGGCACCATTGCAAACACAGAAAAATATCTGAGGTAAGAGTGAAAGGATTTAAGTCTGTCGCTGTTTCAAAGAAACCTGAAATTAGAATATGGGGAGTATAACAGAAACCTATAGTTCTCTCCCTGGCCCTCTGTTTGTATTTGTTATATTGTCTTTCTTAATTCTTTGCCTGGGTCTCTGTTCATGCTTGCTTTTCCTTGAGATGGTGAAAGGTAAAGAAATTTATTACTAGAAAATATTTCTACATGTGAAAGTCTGTATATTTTTATATATGAAATTCACCTATGAAGAATGAATTACTCTACTTTGAATTTTTCCTATAGCTAAAGAAATGTTTCCTATTTAGGATTTACAGCTAACTTAAGGTAAGAGATAGAAGGGAACTTTTTATAGAGAAAAAGGAGATGATAGACTCCGTACCAAGTCTACTGGTTTCACTTGTAATGACCAGGCCTCTGTGTCACTTTTATAAATCTGATAACTATAAATTCAGAGGTAAAATGAATAGAGTGATAAAAAGAGTAACATAAACCCAAGATTAAAGTGACTACCTAAGAGACTGGTTAAAACAGATTAGTTCCCTTGCAGCAGTCACTGGTAACATTTTAAAGAACAAATAGACCAATATAAAATAACATAAAGCAAGAAAGAGCTGTCTGCTAGAGGTGACACTTAGGACAGGTTTTATTGTGGTTTTGCTTTTGTCTCAAAGCACAAACTGTCTGCTCATACCCATTTGTGTTATAACTGACTAACCCGATACATCCGCTTTCACAGATGTTCACTTTGGCTTCTTCATTTGTAAAGGAGAAAAATGAAAAGACAGTTCTCTTTGTCTATAAAACTAACAGAACTTATTTTTTCTAAAAATAAAACTATACCCTCACTGAAGGTAAAGTGCCATAGGAGGTCTAAAGCTATTATGAAATAATAATTAATTATGAGTTTAGAAATAAAAGTGGACCATAGTAATCATTACCTTTTTCATTCAGTCATTCCAAATTTCTGGTTAAAAAAAATCAAAAAATCTTATTTTATGAATTCCTTTTCCTTTATAATTGAAGCATAAAACACCCCCCTTTTGATTATGCCACGGTAGTGAGTGCATAACTAATGAGGCTAGCTACAGAATAGGTATTGGGTAAATACCTATGCATTGGTTAGATGATACACTGAAACTTCCATTCACATTGGAAACTGCCCCTCAGTACTTTTTCTCCACCCTGCTATCTATAACATGATCCCTGGATATTTCACTCATCTCAGCTAAGAAGACAGATGTATGGGCATGCTAACAAATAAAATTCTTATTCCAGAGCCTCTGAGCCAATATGGAAAATTTCATAAAAAGCATGCTGGAGTTTGAGCCCCTTCACCATATCTTGATGAAGCTATGTATCCATTAGAAATGGTTTAGAGAACGGTGCTAGTAATGCTCAAAAGATGGCTAGCGATGCTTATGTCATTACTAGTTCTACTTAGACCAGTCTCTCCTTCTTTAAAATGCATGTATCACTAAAGACCATCCTTTACCCTAAATAATATTTAAAGACACAGACAAGTTAGGCATGAAGGAATATTCAAAAACTAAACATAAAAAATGGATATGCCATTTTTTGGTCATGATGCAAACACAGGTGGCCACAGGGATTAAGCAGGTAATCTAGGTGAATAAAACAGTATGTTCCAGTTGTAAGAAAAACAGCAGAGCAAAGGCAACAAAAAAAGATAAATAGCTTTTGACCTCAGTGTGAGGAAACAATGCGGCATAGTGGGGACTGTAGCTATCCTCACACATAAGTCTTGGCTCCAACAGAGAATGGCCGTGATAATGCTCCTTATAGACAGAGACCTATATTTTGTTTGAAATCTTTCCATTTTTAAATAGTAGAACCTATTCAAGGAAAGTTTAAGTCATCCTGATAGCCAAATGAAAACATTTCTTTTATAGTCACCTCAACCTTTGCTTTAGGTCTTTTGAAATGTTTTGCATTTTAGATACTGGTTTCCGGAAAATATCAGAAGTAAATGATGACTACTCGATTTTAAGCTAATTATATAATTAGGAAAATGGGGTTTTACGTTTAAAATAACCTCTAGATTTCAAACAGTTCCTGATAGAGGCTATTAATGAAATTTCGAAGGTAATTCAAACAGACCCTAGGTGATCCAAGTTTTCATTTGCCTACTATCAATGTTGCCTTGTCTTGAAGTCCTTCCTACGCTACTTGATGTGTTGTTTCCAATTTCCTCTGTGCCCACTTGTGAGTGTGATTTATTTAATACATATCTCCTGGGGTAGCAGGGCTTCTTTATGAGCTCAGGAGTGTGGAAGACTGGCTCACATCAGCACCTAGCACCCCTGCAAGGCTAACTCAAATGTGGCCCCATAAAGAATAATAACTCTGATACCTGTGGTGATACAGAAATATCTGTTTTACTTACTCATATAGAGGAATATTCCACTTTCTTTTCATAACTACTTTTTACCTCTCACTCAATTAGTCAAATGTTTCATTTTTTTTTAATTTTAACGTCAAGTCCAAGTCACTGAGTCAAGAATTATGTAGTATCAAGAAAAATGAAACAGTGGTAAAATGACTATTCCCAAGTTATTACATCATTATTAATTATACTAAAGGATATGACTAAGGAGAAGTAAAGGATTCTATAACCTCAGAGAAAGTCTTGGTATGATCTTATTTTTTATTTTTTATTTTTTTTGTAAATCCTCACCCAAGGATATTTTTTCCATTGATTTTTAGAGAGAGTAGAAGGGAAGCAGAGGGGAGGACGGAAGGGGGAGAGGGAGAGAAATAAGCATCAATGTGAGAGATGACTGGTTGCCTCCTGAAACCCCAGGTACATGCCCTTGACTGGGTATCGAACCTGTGACCCCTGGTGTGAGGACCGATGCTCTACCCACTGAGAAACACCATCCAGGGCAGTCTTTGTACAATTTTACTTATAAAACCCACAAGTTGAAATGAAAATATATGGTAATCATAGACTAATACTCTTAGTAACTGTCATGCGAGTGCCTACCATACTTTCTGCACTGTGCCTCACATTTTTCATTTAACTATGAAAGAATGCTATTAGCATTTCAGTTACACACATTAGGAAAACTGAGACTTAAGTGTAAGTAATCACTAGAGGTTACACAGCTAATAAAATAGAATTTAAGTCTAGCGCTGAAAATTCTAAGGAGATGCAGGAACTTTAGAAGTTATCTGATCCAGTACACCTATTTTACATTTGAATAAATGAAAGTTCACCAAAGCAAATCTTTTACTAACTCAGGGTCTCAGAAGTAGGTCATTTCCTTTCACTTCGAGTTTGTATCAAACATGGGTCACTTTTGCCAGCTTTAGCAACCATTATTTACCACTTTATTGCCAATAATGTGACCCTGTAGCCATAGGAAAGCTTCATTTATAAAAAAAGCATTTTATTAATAAACAGGGGTTATTGTTTTTTGCCTATTGTGAGTGGGGATCGAAGGGTATTATGAGGGTAGGGTTACTAAAACCCTCACTCACCTGCTTTTGGTGCTGCTCTCAGAGACGAGGGTGATCCACCATTAAGGTCCCACCTACAGAAGAGGGAAATGAAGAAAAATGGCCTTTCAGGTCCAACCTCAAAGTGAAACAGCTACTAGAGAAACTGACCTTTTTCTTGTTAATATTGTTGATCACTTTCATCAGTACTTTGGTGTGTTATGCTAAAAAAAAAAAATCTATTTTCACTCTAGCAAAAGCCCCTTGACATGCGCTGTGGCCCCAAGAGAAAGGTGGAGAAGTGTCTTGCCCCAGAAGAAAGGAATGGAGAGAAAACTGTGAATCTCTTCATGATAGAAACAACATGTGCAAAATCCACTGACCATAACATGTTACACAATGTGGGGAAAACACCACAGGTCCATTGCTCCCTAAAAAGTTTTTCTCTTGTCAAATGGTAACAGAAGGACATCCGCAAATAAATTGTGAAGTTGCTTTTGGCTTAGGCAGAGGGTTGGAGGGAAGGGAATCAAAAAGACTGTCTCCTCCAAATGCTTTTATTGTCTTAAGAGGTAGGGCAATATCTAGCTCTGTTCAGCAAACTGAACTCTTCTGAGGATCTTAACAAATTTATACCTCTATCTCTCACCTCTTCCTCTCTTCTGTATTTCATAGACAGCTTTGCTAACTGACTGCACTACTACAAATAGACTCTGTCACTTTAGAAATAGGGTTGTCCTTTTATAGGCAGATTGATGAACTCAGTGCCAAGGTTTTAGAACATGGCTAGGGCAAATGCTACCCCCCATAAATCCTATATTGACAAATGTCCTACTCAAACCAGATGATTTTGTTTGTCAAATAGCCTTTATCAAGGCATAACTGCAAGGCACAGGACACAGAAAATCATTGACAAGTTCTGGGAAATGAGTTATTGAGCCCATGGTTTAAAGAGGAAAATGTTAATGAACAATTTAGGATTATAAAATATCAGAAGGAGAATATCTTAATTGTACCTCTCAAACTCCAAAAATATGCCAATAATTCCTGACTGTCTAATAAGTAGAGATCATCCTGGATCTAAAAGTTTTTAAACTTGACACTTTCTATCTGTATCTTCTGTTTTATTTCTCAAGTCACTGGAGACAAACAGAGTGAGTCAGTGAAGTAGACTAAACTGCACATTCACAGTCAAAAGGTTGAAATGCATCTCCTTGGCGTTCAAATTTAAGAATATTTAATTGAAAATTTTTTGAGAAAATAATTTATATTTAACTTTAAAAATATTGCTTTGGGGATCCCCCAATAAAAAGTAATGGGTTATCTATCATAAAAGAATCAGAAACAAGGAACATCCAATCAACAATTTTCATTTTATATCCTTAATTCCAGTATGGGCGCTAAACATCCATTTCCCTTCTCTACATGCTGGTTCTTTATCAGTTACTGGATGTTAACCCTGTTCACTAGTGATTTTTAGCGATATAAAATGCCATCAATTGTAAAACACAAGGCTATTTTATAAACCACTAAGAAACAAAACACACTGCTGATTATAATTGAAAGATGCATTCTGATGTCAGAGATATTGCAATATTTTATATTCTCTCTCTCTCTCTCTGGGTTTTCACATACTATTATTATTGGATGCAAACAGCTAAGGAGATGTGAAGGAGCTCAGTAGTTGACATTTTCTTGCTATCATACCAAAGTACCTTCATATTAAGGAGTTCAGGAAGAGATGCTTATCTGATTTATGCTTTCCATAGAAAAGACTAGGTAATGTAAGACAAACCCAACACATCCTTTCTACACAGAGATCGAGATTTTTGCTAAATGTTTGAAAAACAAAATCAGATTGAGGGGGAGAAACATCCAGGCATAAAAAACCACACTATAAATGAGTGCCTAAGAAAATAATCATTAAACTATTCATGTCATAGGACACAGAAAATCGCCAGCTAATCATTGGGCATTTTAAATATGCTCAGTTTGAACTTTTTGAACATACTACTCATGTTTGGGTAGCTATCATCTTTCAAAAGTTCATACTCCCCTTATACCAGTCCTGTTCCCAGGAGCAGACTAAGCTGAAATGCTTTTAAGCAGCACTCCCCTTCAACTTCTGGAGAAATGCACTGACTAATGTCAGAGGCAATGAAATCCTAGAATGTGGGATCCTGTGGCTGAACGAATCCAGAAAAGAAAAGCCTAAGAATGGACTTCTCCCCGCGCCGACACTAGGAAGGACACTTCATTAGGAACCTAAACACTGTTTTCTTAGAAGAAACATATGAATCCTTAACATGACTTTAAACAAGGAGCAGAAACTCTCTGCTCAGGCTTCTACCGCAAAAACAAACCCTGGTCCCAGGTCTATTCGTGGAAACTTACCTTCACCAAAGTCTTGGGCTTTATGTGAACACGAACATTATGTAATCTCTCCAGTGAGTTCCAAACTTCCTTTACCCATCTGCCTACTTGACACCACTCCTCGAATATCTCCTCAGTGTCGCTATCTTCATATGGCCAAATCACTGTGTCCTGACCTGTTCCTCTTGAATTCCCATCATCTACTGTCATATATGACACTGCTTTCCATTTGGTTGTTCAAACAAGAAACCCAGAAGTCTGTCTTCATTCCTCATTTAATTTCCTACCTTCACTCCAGCAGCAGTACAAAATATATACCAAACCCCTAAGTTCAATTTCCCTATTATTATTAATACTATAGAAGAGTCTACCATCATTTCTTGCCCAGATTCCCTAATCTTCTTTCCACAGAGCAGCCAAAGTCATATTTTTTAATGCAAATCACATTTTGTTCCCACTCTGTTCTAATTTTTCCAGTTGCTTCCCACTGCATTCCAACTACTATTTACTCTCTGTGCTTCAGTTTTCTCATCTGTAAAATGAGACTAGTAATGATAAGACTGCCTCCTAGGATCGCTATGACGATAAAAGGACTAAATATATGTAAAGCTGTTTAAACAGTGCTTGATGTGTGGGAAATGTCATAAAAGCAGAGTGGTTGTTGTTTACAACTAAAATGTAAATCCCTTAGTAAGTCTGACCCTTACACCCCTTCACCCACCTTGTCATTTACCATTGTCCTGTTCCTCTGTGGGTCTGGTCTCTTGTCTTTCTCAGGCACATTAGGCTCATTTCCTCCTAAAGGCCTTTGACCTGTGTCATTCCTGTAAGACTCAGCTCCCAACACTTTCTGAACTTGATCTTTTTTATCATCCAAGTCTCAGATCCTGTGTCACTTTATAATGAGAAAGATGTTCTGAGAACACCTTGCTCACGTTGGGCAAGAAATAGTACAGGACCACTCTGCCAGAAACCTGAGAAGTTCTGAGTCTATGTTGTAGATTATGATTTTTACCCAGTAGGAGACATAAAATTTGATCTCAAAAAAAATGATAGGGCTTCCTTGGCTTTTTACTTCCTTGTAGCCTGGCCCAGCTGGACGAGATGGCTAGAGAAAGGCAGCAAGACCTCTGGTTAATGTTAGTGATCTTGATACAAAACTACCAAGATGAGCTCCTGAAGTCCCCCAATGATGGGCCTAACAATGCACCCTGACAGCTGCTTTTACTTAGTAAACTGTTTCCTCCCATCCGCTTGGACTAACCTAAACAAGTTGGCGCAGACAATCTACTGGCAGGGCAACTTTCTTGTTTGAACTACCCAGGCTTGAGGTGTCTCATTCCTTCTACTAATAGTCTGTCTCTAAGTTGTCAATAGATCTTATCATAGCTAACACAACTTGTCATTAGTGTGGGACATTATGCACCTTGCACGAAGCCCCAGAAACATTTGACCCTTTTTCTACACAGAATTTTGACATAACTAGCAAAACCATCAATCCATTTATGCCTGAGATAGAGTCAACATCACCGAAAGCAAATGGCAATATAGAGAGGCTGTTCATTCTATTATAAACTTGTTCTTTTTCTGTGTGACATCTCATTTTAATTATAGAAGACATAATTAATAAATTTGCATCCTGGTTACCCTCAATCTGTCCATGGTATAATTTTACCCTTTGACTTATATCTAAATGACAGAGCAACTTTAGTGAGGAAAAGCTCTGGATTGAATGATGGTAAACACATTCATCTTCCCATTAGGTCTGATGAAATCTATCCACAGACAGGTTATGTGCCAGGACACTGATATATGCCACAAGGATGCACTGCTATGAACTTCATTTCAGCAATGTCTTCCAGATGGAAAATAAATTAGAAAGCTTCCTCCAGAGAAAATGAGCTAACAGGAAAGATTTGAGTCTTTTGGTTTAGGAGCTTTGCCTCGAGTTAGTTCCTCTTGGGGAAATTCAGTGAATGTGTTTCTAGCAATTCTAGGAAGTCTTGAGATCTTTCAAGACAAACATTATGGTCTTATGTAAATTCGAGTAAACTTTCTTTGGGGCTATATCCCAGGGAAGTAAATTTGCAAACAAGTTTTAAGAGTTCACTGCAACTTAACTCTTTTAAGAATAAAATATTCATATTTACACTTGCTTGACTTTAGGTGAAATCTAACTGGGGATATAGAAGCTGAGTAAAATAATGTGTAGGGGAAAAATGAAAATTATCTTCAACTTTTAGAAATACATAAAAGTAGCTATATCATGTAGAGTGTTCCTAAAAACATAAAAAAGTATGTATTAGAATAATATCTGTGTTCTCCAAGCAGGATCTAGAGACATGGCACAGATCAATAGTTACCCATGAACAAGGGACTCTCAAGACTATCGTTCTACATGAGTGATTCCTAAATTAGTCAATGCTAACAACTGCTAACCTCAGGCAACGGCAGTAATTTCTTAGTTAGCAGAAGCACGCCATTGTACCAGCTTTATATTTGGCTGATAACAAACACTACTTTTTCACACATCCTCTCATGTGCTATCTGACTCACACAGACTCACATTAGGAGCCCATGAAACAATGATCTGTATTTCCATTTGGCAAGGTAATGAAATGCATTTATTCTCAGAAATAACATGTCAATGGCTCTGCATTAATGGCATTTTTCATATTGACTGAAGCATAAATTCAGTGCATAATTAACAAAGCATAAAGGG